CTAAATCTCATTCATTTGGCCTGCTGGCAAGATTAGATGTCTACTAGTTGCAGCTGTTTACATACTGTACTTAGCAGCTTACTTCAGGAAGCGGACAGTAATTTGTGCACGCAGAGAACCAATAGAGTCACATGATGAAGTCATACCTCAGAGAGCAAATTGATTCATAGACTCAGAACCGCATGTAGACAGAAGTGCAGAAGACCCAGGAAGAAGATAAAATGAATAATAACATCTACATGATACTCTTTCTTTTTCTTCATGAAGTCTGTAAGTACAAAATAATGCATCATTCAATCATTCTTTTACTAATCAACTACATGTCATCTTTGAAAACTATGATAATCATTTTTCCAACAGGTGAACACAATTGCAATGTTGCTCATGTGGATCAGGTTTTAACCATAAGAGAGGGAGGGAATGTATTGTTACCTTGTCTTATTGTAAATGATCAGTTACACCGAGCACTGTGGTATAAACAGGTTATTGGAGAGAAACCTGTCCTAATAGTGTCATCATATCACCACTCTCAACCGAATGAATTTTCTCCTGACTTTGAAGCAAGTCAACGTTTTCATGCAGTGCGAAAGGATGATAGCTTTAACTTAACCATCCTGAGAACCTTGAAATCTGATTCAGGCACGTATTTCTGTGGTGCTGCCTTTGCTAATGTTATTTCCTTCAGCACTGGAACTGTTTTGCTGGTTAAAGGTGAGTGTTATAATATTTATACTTTTGATGGACAATTCAATTTATTGTCAATGTTAATTCAATTTTTTCCCCTTATAGGTGCAGACCTCAAACCTGCTGTTATTCAACAGCCTGTGCTTGGTGGTATGAAGCCAGGAAGCAATGTGACTCTGCAGTGCTCAGTACAAGTGAAGATGTGTGAGAAAGGAGTACAACTAGTCTACTGGTACAGACGCAGTTCAGACACAATGCATCCAGGAATGGTTTATACTCATGGAGACATGAACAATGAGTGTGGGAAGAACTCTGCAACCTCCTCTCCTATGCAGAGCTGTCTGTACAACCTCCCCAAGATGAATGTTGGTCTCTCTGATGCTGGACTATACTACTGCGTTGTGGTAACTTGTGATGAAGTTTTATTTGGAAATGGCACAACATTGGTCATTGAAGGTAAGTGCATATATATAAGTGCATTATATTTGAGTATTATTATTTTTTAACAGACACATTTTTATCCAGAGTGACTTACAAAGTAGAAATATTGCAAGCAATTTACTATATGAGAAATATCCATAATACCAAGTTTTAAAGATAAGATAGATTAGTCCAAATGCTTTTTGTTGTTATTATTATTATTATTATTATTATTATTATTATTA